TTTAAAAAACACTAAAATATAAATATAATTTAAATAATTATTAACAATTTAAATAACTATAAACTTGGAAATGTTCACTTTATATATATAGTTAAAGATCTCTATTAAATTGACTACAAGGAACAACATGCGAAGAGCTCTAACGGGGATCGTATGTATGTACATACTAGAAATACCGATGATCTACATCTTACCGTTGCTGTGCCATGATCAACATCACTAGCACTTTTTATGGCCGCCCTGGATGATTCTAGGTTATATAGAACATATTTCATAATTATTTACTATACAATTAAAAACAAACTTATACTATATCTATAATTAGTGGTTTAAAATATTTCCAAATGCTATTCAACCTCTTTAATAATATTGATGTGTTCAAGTATGCATATAGAAGTCAGATCATAAATCAACTTTAGAAGATTTTTTTGGATATAAACAGTATAATTCAGATGAAAACATAATTATTCTATTTTGATTATTATTTTTTTTAAAATAAGGTTTATATATTTACATATATATTGAATTCAACCAGAGATGAAATTGAAAATATTGATAAAAAAACCCAATTGGACCTCACAAGGGATGTAGATAAATGTAAATTATGTGTAGGTAGCTGGCATTATGCTATTTTAACTATGAAAACCAGAAATAAGGATTTTCAAATAACATTTGGAGAGGTAATCAGGAATGCATTTAAACCAGATGACATAAAGTTGAATAAGGACCAAAAGAAAATACTCAAAGGTGAAAGTGTAACTTCAGTATAACATTAATTTTTCTATTTTTATTGTAAAAATTTCTGAAAGAACTATTCGATTTATAGCCATGCGGTTAGCCCTTTCAAACCTTTGGAAACTATTGCCCGAAAATGTGCCAAGTATCAAAGAGTTGGAAACTTTCGGATTACTTGTGTATAGTATGTAGTAATTCGGCTTATTAATTTCTTATATAACATTTATTAATCTCAATATAATTTTAATAATACAGAAAAAGAGTTCTTTCTTTATTCAATGCATTGCGTGGATGGAATTTATTTCATTGATCAGTACGATGGATTCACAATTCCTGATACACCATTACAGCTGGGGAATATATCCGATATCATTCGCATAATGCTCATGTTTAAGGTATTGAAAAGGTTTTATTTATCATAATTGTTTAGTATTAACACTTTACTATGTATTTTCTAGAATCGTGTTATAAAACTCCAACAGCTGTATGTAATAAGTACTTAGACCGATAATGTGACATGTTTATCTTGTTTCAATATTTCAGAATAAGGTTCTAAAGCGGTGTTAACATGTTCCTTTATAAATTTATCGACTTGCTGTGGTGCTCGGCCTATAAATGTAGATGGGTCTAGTAAAGAATCAAGCTATAAAAATTAAGAATAAAATAAAACTGATTATTAAATTAATCCAAGCTTCAAACATTTAACCATACACATAAATGGACAGTATAAGCGACACTTCTAAATATCACATTATTGTTGTCAATTGGACTAATTGGACCCAGCAATTAGACCAATTGGACACATGTCCAATTAGTCCAATTGACAACACTGGTCGTTATACTGCAAAAGATTCATAAATATCATACCTCATCATAAATACATTTGAAATATTCAGTTTTCTTAATCCTTTCGATCAAATCATTCTCCTTTCCTTCTTCTTTAACAACTTTAGCTGCTTGATGGCTTAAAACTCGAATCATCTCGTGACATTCTTGCCTATCACCACCTTTTTTAGTAACTGCCATAATTATATTTTCTGTAGCCATGAATGGAAGTTCTTGTGATATATGATGTTGAATCACTTGTGGATATACTACTAAACCTTCGAAAATGTTTTGAAGCAAAGAAAGGACTATGTCAGATGTCAAAAATGCTTCGGGAAGAGAAATTCGGCGGTTGGCGCTATATATATATTTATAAGACAGCGTAAATTCAAAAAAAAAAAAAAAATTAAAATTAAAATAGAAAAGAATGCATTCACTCATTCATTTACAAACAAACCTATCATCTAAAGTTCTTTCAAACCATTGCACACTATTAGTCATTAAAGCGTCTTGTGCCAAAACCATTAAATGCCTACTTAAACTACAAACCCTTTCACATCTCATAGGATTTCTTTTATACGCCATCGCACTGCTGCCAATTTGATTTTTTTCGAATGGCTCTTCGATTTCTTTAAGATTAGCTAATAATCGAAGATCAGTTGCAATTTTGTGTGCTGTAGCGCCAAAAGAACTTAGAGGGTTTAAAATATCAATGTCAATTTTGCGAGAGTACGTTTGACCCGTTACGGGGTAAAGTGTCTCAAAACCAGAAAGTTCGCAGACCCGCGCATCTAAGGCTTCCACCTAGGTAAATAATAATTGTAAGTAAATGTGAAAATACATTATAAGCACAAACAAATGATATATGGAGAAAACGAACTTTGTCGTGATCACCATTAAACAAAGATAAAAATGAAGCCTGAGTACCGGTTGTACCCTTAACACCACGAAATCCAATATCATTTCTAGCTCTTGTTATGTTTCTCAAATCCCATAACAGCTCCTGCATAATTTATGATATGATAAATATTATAGACAAGAAAAACTTGTCACAGCTAATGCTGAGATCGGTCGATACTGAGATTTTAGACCTACTAAACCTATTAAAATCCACATATACAGTCGTCATCCCATAAAATCACAAAGTTGGGCACATAGTAAATTTTTTTCAAAATGTGCTTATATAATTACATATGGTGTGATTATATGAGAGGTGACGATATGGAAGGATGACTGTACTTTTATTACAAAAACAAAAAGAATGTGCCCAAAAAATTTTTAAATGTTTTATTAAATAGGTTCAATTCTCAGTACCAGCTGTAACAAAAATTATTTTTTTTAAAAAAATATTATTACTTACCTGGATCCAAAGTGTAGCTCGCTTTCCAACGGTAGTCAATTGAGCCGGTTGAAAATGAGTAAATCCCAAAGTTGGTAAACTTTTATATTCATCAGCAAACCTACTGAGCCGATGGATAACCCTAGCCAATTTATCCAATAATAAATCAAGACCCTTACGAAGAATTATTAGATCACCATTATCCGTTACATAACAGCTTGTGGCACCTAAGTGAATGATAGCAGCAGCTTTTGGAGCTACTTGGCCAAATGCGTGCACGTGAGCCATTACGTCATGACGGCGTTTTTTTTCTTCGAGTGCTGCTATTTCAAAGTCTTCTTTTGTTAAGGTCTAATTTCAAATAAAAGTGATTGATATACATATATACATATGTCTAACAAGATTTATACAGGTGTAGAGTACTTAATTTTAAATTTTAATACCAAATGAGCTTCCATTTCTTCAATAGCTTCCTCAGTTATACTTTCAATTCCTAATTCCTTTTCTGCTTTTGCTAAATTTAGCCACAATTGTCTCCAGATATAAAACCGATTTGCTGGTGAAAAAAGAGCAGCCATTTCTGGAGAAGCGTATCTTGAGGTTAGGGGACTTTCATATTTATCGTGTATACCAGTTGACATCTTTATTGGTGAGAACGAATACTACGAATTGAAAAAACTTCGATTGATCGGTTTTTTTTTTTTAGATTATCTATTTGTGTCATCCTACATGTGACTCTGTGACACTTTTTTTTTTTTCCTATCTGCTATAGCGATAGACGTACGTACGTACGATAAAATCAAACTTTTTAAATTTACTGAATGTGTTTAAGAAATGCGTTAAGGTTAGTATACTGCTTATTTGTGAAATGAATATATTTATGATGATAACCATTATTTGCACGTCAGTCAGAATTTAAACCTGTTGACAAAAATCTATACCCAAATTTCTGAATATTTGATTTATAAATGAACATTACATTTTATTAATATAAAACTCAGTATTTACTTACACCTGTTTAAATTATAATTAGGGAATGGATAATATATATGAATTATAACATTTTATATAATATTGAAATGATGAGAATTTTACGTTACAATTCCAAATGTTCACACAACTGGTGTAAATTTATTTAGAAAAGAGAGAAAGCACGAATAATAAAACAGATTATTTGCCTTACTCTTCGGCTTCGAACATGTCTTTGACAATATCAAGAGTATTTCTAAAGTTTTCACTATCTGTGGCATTAAAAGCTCTGAGATATATGAAAATACAAAGTTATCGCTGTCTTACAGATTAAATATTACCTTGGCTTTCGGATTTTAAATTCTTATCAAGTTTTCTACCGAGAAACTCCGATTTTCTTTGTAATGTACTTAATAGTTTTGGTACTGTAATTAAACAATAATTGAATTCGTTAGACACTCTTTAAATAATAATAATAATAATAATGTACTAATGTTGTATTTACATAATATCCTCATTTTATTAATTTCGTTGACAACAGGCGAATTTTTTGCAACTAAATTTTGTTGTATAGTTGATTTATTTAATGGTGCCAGATTATCGCGAAGATTCTAGTGCAATATTTTGCAAGTTTTTGTTTCAACATATGATTCTAAAATGATAACGATAATATATAATTTTCTTACCTTATAATATTCACATTTCTCTTTCATTGTAATATAATCTTGTTGAATTTTGTATACACGTGATCGCAAATCAGCGTATCTGAGAACAAAAATGTCGGTGAATTAAAAGAGAAAAATTTTTTAATTATCCGTAACTGTGCTCCAATTGGTGGTTACGTAGCGATTTGGTATTTACGG